AGAGTATAATTTGGAATAAGCTGCAGTTTCCAGAGTCTTGTTAAAAGAGTCTCCCTTTGAGGGAGCAATAAGGAAGCTGTGCTGAGACAGAAACCCCATGGAACCCGCCCTGCATTCAGAGTTTGGCCTTAATCAAGATCTACCCAATCACAGCACAGCAATGCCTCTAGAATTTTTTTGTATTATTTTAAAGAGTGATAGTTTGCTAGAGGATAGAAAAGTTTCCAATAAAATGGAAGGCGCCACAAGCAGATTGCCCCCAAAGTTAGCACTATGATGATTATTTTTATTAATAGAAAAATGAAGGAAGATTTGTATCATTGTATCATGTAGCATGAGAGGGAATGAAAAATGGTGGCTAGAAAGACAGGAGCCATAAGATTTGGTGGTGTGAATGTTATTACTAAGTATAGGAATAATTCCAGGGGAATTACAGATAGAAGCCAGAAATGTCAAAATTGTGGAGAATGGGTGGTAAAGGCTTCAGAACAGTAAAAAAGAGTAAGAGGACAGAAAAATGAATCTAAGACCAGATCCTGTTCTTATGAAAATTCTGACCATGACCTTAGGTATGACACAGTAAAGCAAAAAGTGGAGAAGCATTTAGAGACAAGAATGATTAAAAAATCAGGCTGAAAATTTAAGGCCTCCCTTTTTCAACTCGTTCTTGTCTTTAATACCGTGTACAAGTGATTCTACATAATTTTCTGGTCCACTGCTCTTCACTATTTTAATCTACTTGGTTTTATTTTATTTATTTCTTCATATGCTTTGAGAGACAAGGCAAGCATAATGGCTGGCATTAATACACACCTGTATGAGTCTTGGCTATTTTTTTAATTGTAAGTTATCATCATCATAACCTTCTTTCATTGTGACCATTGGCCACATTATTTTAGCACACGAGAGCATGATCATAATTCAAACTGAAGCCAAAAGCCATTGATCATTTCTACAGTGTTCTCTTTTTTATCAAAGGGCCACATGACAGGAACAAACTGGCCATACGTTTTTAGGCAGTTTTCAGGGTAAGTTAGAGGATCATCCTAATATCTGACCAGTCTGTTTTCAACTGGAAAGTCTTCTCTACCAAAAGTAATAATCAATGCCTCGTCTGACAAGCCAGAGACCATGCCCATGGGAGACGGTCAGTGCTTTCTGAATTGCCACTACACTAAGAATCATTTGAGCTCCAGTTGTGTTTAATTGTTTTCTAATGGCTATTAACCAGATACCAGATAAACTGTGGTTGGCTGAACTGAAGTATAGAAAATGGCTTTATAAGTCTAATGAGGCCTAGAGAAGGAGAATGCAACCCACAAGCTAACTGACAACTTACAGGCCAACTCTCAGACTTCATGTCATTTACATAACATAACTTCACTCACGAATATTACCAATAATTATGTGCCAGTGCATTTCAACTTCTCAGATACCTGCTTGCATAACTAGGGCCTAGAATGCCATCTACTTTCATCCCAGGGTCCTTTTCCCAAGTAGTGTTATCTCCTCTGGCTTCATGGCACATTATCCTCACACTCTGTGGATGAAATCACATGACAATTTGAAGGTACCTCCCGAATCCTGAGCAGGTCACTATCTTTAGGAAGGAACCACAGCACATAATGCAAAGAGCACAGCTGCATTCCCGTGGTGCAGTCTAACAGTCAGATTGTTTTTAGTTTTGTGCAGTTTACTTTTGTTTTTGGAAACTATGTTAGACAATCTGCAAAAAAGGAGATCAAATTACTTGAATCCTTTTCAAGGTATGGCCTGCCCAATCTATTGAACAAGTGATCTAAGCCTGTTCGAGTTCTGTTCTTTTCTAAAAGAACCACAGACCACACTGAAAGTCATTTTGACATTTCAGGATTTCCATTTTTTTTTTATCTGTTAGAAGGTGAGTACATCATAAATGTTATTATTTTACCTTAGTCTTCTTGATGACTCTAGGACTTCTCATAAAAGCTTTAGAAATAGTCCAATTCTTTACAATCACCTGGAACTGACTATACTGTATCGCAGTAGAAAGAGACACGGTTTTATTTATAGTCACTGTCTCACGAACATTTATTGCCTTCAGTGTCCTGAGGAGCACAATAAACAGTCCCACAAATGTGAGATAGGGGAAAACACATATCGATAAAATCCTACTCAGAATTGCTTTTTCAAAACAATGCATAACTCAAATATTTATTTAGCAGCTACTCTAGTTCATATATATGAACATAGCAAGGACCTTTTTGTTATACAGATCAATTCTTTCAGAGGTCTTTATAAACTTTTTAAAAATACATAAAGCTTTGTACTTGGAAAGTTGGAAGTGAACCTGTTTCCAAATAAAGGGAGGATTTTCTTCTCCTTCATTCCCGGGGTTTCCTTCTGTCATCTTCACTGCCCACCCACTATTTCCTTAAAACAACACTATAAATAAATAATAAATCAATCAATAAATCTACTTTTTCTTTCTTTTTTTTTTTAATTTTAAAAAGTTGTTGAAAGTCAGGTGATTCACTTCACAACTCAAGGAATATAGTCAGAATTATATTCAAATGTGTCTACCTCAAACCCAGGTGGTTTGAACTGGGAAGATCAGAGAAAGGAAGGTGAAAACACCTGCTCAGAACAGGAGCGGTGTGCAAAGCAAGGGAATTGGGTTTGTGGAACGTCCACATAAGCAGCAGTAACAGGTAAACACGTAGGGAAGTGTGCCTCCACTTCCACAGGAGGCAAGTCACATAAGCCATCAGGCTTCATGGCAGGGAGAAGGGATTCGGGCTGAGAAGGGCTGGAACACCCAGTCCTGCCAGAAAAGCAGCTGTCCTTGGGTCTCTGGACAGGGGCCAAGGCAGTTCTTATGCACATATCCCAGTGATAAAGGTTTACGGAGGATGCCAAGAGGACAGGTCTGCTTATCCACTGGTCCCTGCCATTGGGTATAGTATATATATTTGGTGGGGGGGGGAGTACAGGTAGGGGAACAAGGGAAAGATATTCTTTTAAAGAAAGAATACATGAAGAGGAAACCCAACCAAATTTAGAAAAGCTCTAAATTACTTGTACACCATTTTACCTTGATGTACTATAACTTTTAGAGTAACCCTGTTCACCTGGAACCACAGAAACAGAATTCACAGGTGCTGACAGAGTATTTCTACAGGACACAGCTTCTCACTTTTATTTTTTAAATGACAGAATTTTTAGTAACCTGTCCCTTATATGAAAGGATAGCTAACTATAAAAGAGTTTCTTTAGTAAATCCAAAATAATCACCTTCTCCTTTACATCGGAACTGTGGCTTGCATCTTAATTAGGTTTATAAATCAATTATGAATATCAATTCAGTTAGAGAAATAAGTGAAAATAGGTTTAATGCAATCTGCCTCCATAATGACATCTCTAACAGACTTCAAGGCATATTTAAATGTAAAATTTCCACGGATCCCATTTCACTATAGCTCAATAAACACAGTTCCAATCTAACTGGGGTAAAAAATGCTAGCTGATTTCTTGAATGAAATCTTCAGTTTTAACATGCACGATCATTGACACAATCCTACAATGTAATTCTCTGATTAAAAAAAAACCTTCTTAAAAATTGTGGCCAATGGATGGAATTTTATAGTCCTTTAAACCGTAAGTTACCTAATAAAAAGTGGAATAAGATCTCTATAACCAACCGAAGTAAGTAACACATCATTCCCTCACAATGGCTTAACTCTATGAGTCTCTTAGCTTTATGATTCTTCAGGTAGTACTTTGTCTTTATAATTACCTTTTAAAATTCTCAAGTAATTCTCAACCTAGAACTATGGAGAAAAAATGACTAATGAATAAGGGAAAAACAGTGGAAAGGTTAATTTGCATTCTAAGATCCCAAGACTCTAAGAAGCATATTCAGAAATCTCCAAGATCTACAAGCTCTCTCAGTGACTATAAAAGTCTTTGATGATTGCTCCAGAGAAGGTATAAACTAACCAGATGCATTCAAAGTCACCCTTCACAGAACTGAAAATACATCAACGTTTTTAAGAACCAGCTTCTAATGATTCCCAGTTCTGGTAGCAGGTTGAAGTCCCATGAAATAGATTTAACTTTGAACTTAATGGAAACTAGATTACAAAAGAGCCTTTTATAATGTCTTGTATCTTTCACTCTGAGAAAACAATTTTGATGGAGGAAATAGAAGCGTCATTGTTTGTAATACTGTAGATAAAATAAGAATATTATTTTATTTTATTTCTCCTCTAATGACAAGTGAGCTCAAAAAGTGTACCCACTGACATATCTGAACATTTTCCACTTCCTTCCAAAAGATGAAAAATCACGTCAGACAGGAAACAGATTCTTTAGATTAGTGACAGGTGTGGAACAAGCACACCAGTCAGTCTTTATTTTCAGTGTCAGCAGACGTGCTCCGCGGCAGAGGATACAACTCTTCCTTTTCCTTGAAGTGACACACATCACATTGTTCCTTCATCTACACATCAAGCAGAAAAGTTCCCAAGCAATAAAACTACCTGCTCTTGCTTGCATACCAGACTAGGCTTAAAGGACAAAACATCAGTAGGAAAGAGAGAGAATGGGGATGATAAGGAGTTTGGCTTATGAATTTCTTTAGGAGGAAGGAGGAAAACGTTGTCTCCATTCTCATGATCATTTCTGCAGATCACGGAAGTTATTCGGGAGGTGAAAAATTTAGGAGCTTTATATAGAAGTTAAGTGATTTAGATCTTAGCACAATATGGTACAGGAGACACTTAGAGCTTCCGTAGAAACTGGGTGTTAGGGAAGTAACAGTTTTAAAAGTAAAAATAAAAGCCCTCCCCCCCCATCTTAGGAAGCCCACCAAAAACTCATTCCTCAGTTCCAATTTCTCTTTTCTCTCAGCCAAATGAACAAAAATATCAAAGCTACAAAATAATGACGCTGCTCAGGGTGAATTCTGGAAAATGGGAGAGTAAAAGGATCTCCAGCACAAGTTTGAATTTAGGACCTACCTGCTCTGATCCCAGTTGGCAGCAAAAAGGACTAGAATCTTCCTGCCATAGTGGTCCAAATTGGCCAGGCCCCCGGGGAAGCCATCCTTCAGAGCCTGTTTGATGCCAGGGTCAGTGGCCTTGAAGCTTTTGAACATGTCCAGATTCTGTTGCCGGTACTCAAAGTACTGTGCCAGGAGGCGGAAGGCCTCGAAGTGGTGAAACTTCCTGGCCCGCAAGAAGCGCAAGATGAAGGCGTCATCTGTGCGCAGAAAGCCGATGTCCGGCCTGGTGATGACCATGTCCCTCACCTCCTGGATGTCCTGGTGCAGCGTGTCGGGGTTCTCGTTGAGTTCCAGGCGAGCCTTCTCCAGCGTCTCAGGAGAGAGACCAGCTTGCAAATGAGTCATTGTTCTGCTGGCTCCTGAGCCTTCCCCTCTGAAGCTCTTGTTGACTCTTCCACAACAAACCTGGCCCTGGCCACCACCACACTCTTGGCCCCCAGACCCGGCTGCCCTCTGCTTCCTCTCCCGTACAGGAAATGATCTGTCCTGGTATCCAATCAAGGACCCTGTTGCTCCTGCTTTCCCACCGCTTTATTGTGGGGGGATATAAACTTCTTCTCCCACCCCCCAACACACAACGCTTCACTTTGGTTCCCTCTTCTCTTTCGCTGAAAGGGAAGGGGACCTCTGGGGGGCTCTGGCCTCCTCTTCTTGTCCTTTCTGTCTCCTCACCAAACACCCCTAATCCCACCTAGCACGAGTGGTTCTGATCTTGGTACTGTCCTCTTCTCTTCTCTTCCAAGATGTAACAAAAACAACCCCCACGCACATCTCAGCCCCGGCACTGTGCTGCTTCTGCGGTCTCTACTGAGGGATGCGCCTGCCAGGGATCGCGATGGAAATTCTGATTAATAATAAGGTGGTTCTTCAGCGCCCAGCGCCAGGGCGGGGAGAGAGCATCTTTACCAGAAAGAAAGAGAGAGAGAAAGAGGGAGAGAAAGGAGCTTATTTCTCCCTGTACTTATTCGAAGATGCTATTTTAAAAAGACATATTTGTGGGGTTTTATTTAAGATGATTGCGAACCAATTAGGCGGAGACTCCGCAGATAGCACACCTTCCCTCCACCCCTCTTAGACATACCGTGATCTCATAAGGCACCAGCACTGGTTTGGGTGGCGTTGGCACCAGCGTGGGCTCCCCACACCCCACCCCCGACTTCTGCCTTGTTCTAGCCCTTTATTTCAACGGACTTGCCATGGGGGGAGGGAGGGGATCTCTCTAGATAGATATGTTTCAAAAACCGGGGTAGGAGAGGGAGTTGGGGAGAATAAAATAAAAATGTCTTTTTCTTTTCTATATAAATCCCAAAGCCAAAAAGAAGAAAGAGCAGCCGGCTCCTACCAGCAAACCCGGAGGCGGGGACGCTAAGCAATGCGGCACTCCCTGGCATCCATCAGCCCCGGCTTCAGCGGCGACGGCGACCGCGGCGACAGCAGCATCAACTCCTCTCGGAGGGATGGAACGAGCAGAGAAGAGGGGCGGCAGCGGGGACCGGGGCCCAAGATGCACTCGGGAGCAGCTGCGGCCACATCGTCCGCAGGCAGCCCACTGCCTCTCCCAGCAGGAGGGGTGGGGACCGCAGAGCTAGGGCCACCGCGGTTCCAGGTCCCCGCTTGGCCCTGCCATTTTCGCCTTCGGGAGAAAAGGGAGGCGGCGGGACCCTACTGCCTGGCTGTAGGAGGCCACGCGGGCCGCTCCTCCTTTGTGCGCCGCCTGGGCGGTGGGCGCGGCGGGCGGCTGCTGCGCGGCGCGGGCCTGTCCCCGTGCGCTCCCGAGCGGCCCGAGCCTCGCGCGCCCCACCGGGCTGCTGCGGCGGCTCCGGCTGCTGCTGCTGCTGCTAAAAGAGGACTCGGCTCAGCCCAACTCCTCTCTAATTATCCCAGCACAGATCTCGCTGCGACGTAAGCACTCCGCTGGCGCACGCACTCCGCTCCTCTTTCCCTGCCAGCTTGGGGTAGGACGGCGGTCTGGGTGGCAGGGAAATATCCCGAGCCCCAAGTTTAGCTGCTTGTCCTCACTCCCCAGCGGGCTGCCGGGCGGGCGTCGTCTGACCAGGCGCGGCCGCGACGCTCCCAGGCCCCCACGCCCCTCTCTCGCCCTTTGTGTGTGAGACCCCAGAGCCGCCCGGAGAGAAGCTGTCGCGGATGGTAATTCACATTGACGCGCATTTCTTAGTTCCTGTAGGAGGGAATTGTGATGTGCAGGGAGTACGGAAACATTTTGTACTTGCCGCAGTTGTTGTTGACTGAGATGTTTAATTTAGAAAAGAAGAGCGGAGTGATTCCACGGCATCGCGTCGATGATTAAGCCTCCGGAGGAACTTAGATGAATAGTTTTTCAACCATAAACTCTTCCTGCTAAATTCCTACTGCAGAGGATGAAAATGAGCATTGGGGCCAATAAGAATAATAATGCAATTCTCAAAGGAAGAAAACTACAGGCACTTATTGACTCATCTCTCATAATAGAGCAAATACTTCCGGAGACACGTATGATCTTTCCCTCAATTTTATGCATCTGCATACCAGCTCAAAAGGAGTCTTTGAGCTTCAGATGACTGTCACAGGAATTGAGGAAAAGCAATTATTTTCTACTTTCAAAACACGTCATGTCTTACCGAGCATGTCACTGAGAACAACTTTTGGCTTACCAAGTGTAGAACAGAATGCTGAGTGCAAGTTAAGGCAAATGCAACAAATATTTACTGAGTTCGACTAGGTGGGGGCCATTGTTCTGGATTCCACGGGTAGCAGGTGGTGTCGAAGATAAGAATATTTTGTTATGCTTTGAAGACTATTAGAACCCTCAAATGCAAGCAGACTGCTTTCCTTGTTTTCATAGCAGTGGTGTTGATAAAGGGAAAGAAAAGAAGAAGGTTGTATGACAGAACTATACCATTTCATTAATTAAATTAATGCAAAGTAATGTAGGAACAGAATGAGAGAATACATTATTCACGCACGGTTATTATCCTCAAGGAATTTCTGTTTTAAATGGCAGAAAATAAGCCATATAGATATGTATGCGTGGATATGTGTTTATGTAGGAGGGTCAGATATATGTACTGTATCTTTAAGGCCCTTCCAGGACACTGTAATTATGACTCTCACAAGCATCCTGAATGTCATGCACACTGTGAAATAATTTGGTCCACACTTGAAAAAATTTTGAGAAAATCATTTCTGGCCCATCTTTCAGCCGTGTTTTTCCAACCTTTTTTTTTTAATCTCATTACACACTTGTACCATATGGAGTTAAGCTTCCGGAGCACACTTCATTTATGTTGATCAAAAAAAAAAAAAAGTAAAAAAAAATACCTACTGTGCTTTGAAATTCTTTCAAAAATAATTTAATTAATGTCTTCAAAATTTTTCATGGCACACCAGTTGAAAATGACTGTTTTAGAGGTTGAACAAAATTTCTGTCTGGTACCAACTGTATGAAGAGATTTTAGTCATCACCAATATTGAAAGACATGCATCTCTGGTGTCTCTGTGTGTCTTTCAAGACCATCTTTTCAAGGTCGTTTGTGCAGTGAACAGCTGTGGAAGGTCTTTGGAAGATAGAGATAGTATCTCCATCCAGACAAAGAGTAGGTTTATTGACAGCCTTACAAGCCTCAGTGGGTCTGGCTTGAGCAAAGGGTAGGCAAGCTTATGTAAATTCTCTGACAGACTCAGAGGAACTCTGCTGTAACACCACCCAGTGTGGGTGAAAATGTTACCCTCTTCTCTAAGCCCGATGGGAATTAAAGCTCAGGGACCAGTGCAAGATACTGCTTGCTGTGCCAGAGAGCTGAACTCCTTCATCTCTCCCCTAGGAGTCTGGCATCTTCCATCAGCATCCTGAAACTACAACTGGCTAACCTGTTAGCTTGTAATGGGTTAAAACTCAGATCCCTCATCTTGCTGAAAAAACAATTGCTTAATTTAGTTCCTTAGACTATATTTTTGAAAGGAATTTAGAAAATTCAACTAAATCTATTGGCCCATAATATAATGGCCAGCTTATAATTATAATTTATAATACAATTCAGGGACATGTGTATTATTTGTTGTTTATGAGTAACAGAGTTGCTTCAAATTGGTTTATTTTAACGTATCAATATATGGTATAAATAGCCTCTGTCATTCACTAGGATTGTTGGAGTAAGTGAGGTAGATATAAGAATACTTTTTTATCATATTTACAGTCTTTTAAGTCCTTCGTCCAATAACTAAACCATTATTCTTTCTCTACTTGTACATTTGAAATCAGATCTGAGATCAAAAATATCCAGAGCCACCTAAAATTAAACAAGGTGTTCATCCAGATGACATCAGAGCATTTGATTCTCATTCAATATTAATTTACCTTGCAAAATTAATGTGAAGTAATGTAGGAACTAGAATATGAGAATAAATTAAATAAATTAAAGCATTATTGAAAATAATTAAATCAAGGACTTCAGTTGTTTTCAAGTAACTAGAAAAGCAAGTTTGGTTTACTAATGTATTTAAAATAGGTAGATTAAGTAACTTATGTTTTAAAACATTTTATTCCATTTATTGTAAATATGTATTATATATATATACACACACACACACACAAAGCACAAAACAAAGGTGTACAGCTAAATTATATATTCCCAAGCAGACACCTATTGTAAATATCAAATCAAGTTAAAAAATTGAGCATTGCCAGTTGCCAGAAAGCACCTCTCCCATCCCTGGTCTTTTCTTTCCAACAAAGAAAGCCACACTACCCTCATTTTAAAAGCAATCTTTGATTTTTTTTTTTTTTTTTTTGCAAACTAAGTAACTACAATTTAGTTTCCCCTCGTGTTTTAATATAATCTTTCATGCGTAATTTTGGGATTGGCCTCTGTCATTCGACATTATGTTTGTGAGGTTCACCTGGGTCATTGCATAGGGTTAGTTCGTATTCTATAATAATACACACAATTACATTGTATACATGTAATACAATATATTTTTCCATTCTACTGCTGATGGAAATTTGGTTTTTTCTTTTTTCAATTTTGGACTATTACGACTCAGGATTTATAAACATTCTGGTACAAGTCTCTTGGGGCACATAAACATATCTGGGAATGAAAATTGTATCACATAGTCGCATCAAATTTAGTAGAGAATCCTGAACTGTTTTCCAAATGGTTGCACCATTTCACCCCCCACACCCAGTACATAAGAGTTCTCACTATGCCATTTTCTCAAGAGTTATTTTATTGTCTGTAACTTTAACTTTATCCATTCCAATTTTGAACAAGAGTGCTGCATTATGATTTAGGTAGGCATCTCTATGCTTTCAAAAGAGGTTAAGTTTTCACATTGTTTTGGGCCATTTGTATATCTGTTTGTGATTTTTCTGGTGTTTATAGTGGGTTTATTGTTTTATGATTAACTCATAGCTCTTTGTAGATTCTAAATGTGAGCCCTCTGTACATTGCCTGAGTGCAAGAGTCTTCTAGTCTGTGGCTTGTCTTGTCACTTTTAAAGCTATCTTTTAATTAACTTAATTTTAAATTTTGATGTAGTATAATTTTTCCCTATGAATAGTGCTTTTGGGAGGTTCCATTTAAGAATATCCCACACTCACGCAGTTATTTTCTGATATACCTTCTAGAAGTTTATTTTCTGATACACCTTCTAGAAGTTATTTTCTGATATACCTTCTAGAAGTTTCATTGTTTTGGCCTTTCCCATTTAGAAGTTTATTTTCTGATATAAAGGTTTATTTGGCCTTTCCCATCTAGAAGTTTGTTTTCTGACATACCTTCAGAAGGTTATTTTCTGATATATCTTCTAGAAGTTTCATTGCTTTGGCCTTTCCCATTTAGACTTGCAATCCACCAAGTCTTAGTGGATTGTGCTTAGTGTCCAGTATGAGAAAGAGATCATGTTTTTTAAATATAAATATCCAGTTTATTCAGCACAGTTTATGGAGACTATTTATTGAAAAGATCACCTTTTTTTTTTTTATTAGACAGAAGGGCAACCATTGTCACAAAATAATTGTTCATGTATGCATGGATTTTAGTTCAATATAGATTTAAAATTCCACCTTGTTTTACACAAATGAAATTTCTCAGTGGTTCTCAGACGGGGCCCCAGAACAGCAGCATTCATTACCTGAGAACTTGTTAGAATTGTAAATCCCCATGCCTGACATACTGAATCAGAAATCCTCCCAACCAATAGGTTAGTTTTCTGGTTCGCCCTTTGATGGATTCTAATTTACAAATTTGTACTGTTCATTGTTATTTATTCCTTCCTCTATCTCTGAGTTTCCATGTAAGAATCGTCATCTTTTTACTTGGAGAACCCTTCTTATTAGGACCTTTTGTATAGATCTAAAGATTGTAAACTATTGGTTTTGTTTGCCTGAAAGTCACTTTATTTTACTGTCACTACCAAAGAATATTTTTGTTCAGTATAGGATTCAAGATTAGCCACTATATTCTTTTAATACTTTACATATTTTATTCCATTTTTTTCTAACTTGTCTTATTTCTGTTTTTGTAAAGTTAACTGTAAATATTTTCATTTTTCCTTTGAAAGAAATCTCTACTTTTTTCTAACTGATTTTCTTTTCTCCTGTCTCTAATCTTCATCAGTTTTACTCTACACTTTTTAATTCTTGCATTACTTTGTACATTTTTTTTTATTTGAGACAGAGTCTCACTATGTGCTCCTCGGTAGAGTCCTATGGCGTCACAGCGTCACAGCTCACAGCAACCTTCAACTTTTGGGTTTAAGCGATTCTCTTGCCTCAACCTCCCAAGTAGCTGGAACTACAGGCAGCCGCCACAACGACCTTTTCGTTCCAATTGTCATTGTTGTTTTTAGCTGGCCGGCCGGGTTCAAACCCGCCACCTTCGGTGTATGTGCCTGGCGCCATAACCACTGTGCTATGGGCATTGAGCCTCCTTTGTACATTTTTAAAATTCTGCTTAGCACTTATTGGACTTCTCAAATTTATCTTGACGGCTTTTATTTGATTTGGAGTGATCTAAATCATAATATCTTCAAATATTGTTGGGACCAAAATCGCCACTGAGAGACCACCACACACGCAAAGACAATGAAGTGCTTTATTTTCAAT